CAGGACCCTTTCTGTGTGAAAGGTCAATGCCCAAGACCAGACATGCCAGCAAATCACTGGAGCAAAGTGATGCACAGCCAGGAGAGAGTATAAAGAGCCTTGAGCCCCCCTTCAAGTGCAGACCATATTTCCAGTCTTGCCCCCCTCTTTTGCAGGGTACTCAGTAAATCTGCCTTTTCTGTTCTCTACTGTCTCTGGTGAATGCTTTCACCCCCTGCACCTATGGGCAAAATCCTGATTTTCTCTGCACCATTTAACATCTGTCCAGCTAGGATTCTCTCTGTAAGAGGAAGCATTCCCATGTCCTTTCCAGGGGCTCCACCCTCTCGCCACCTTCATGTGTTCAACAACCCAGATGCCCTCTGATCCCCATCTTTTTGCAGTTTTTTAAATGGCAGCTTCATTATGTAGGCCCCATTAATTAAATCTTGGCTTTTGATGATTAAGTTGACTTCCAGTCCTCCTCCCAAAGGATGGCGGGCAGGACAGAAAGTTTCAATCCTCTAGCCACAAGGTTGATTCTTCTGGGAAACAACTCCCATCCTTAGGGAAGTTTCAAAATTCACTTCATTAACATATATTCAGATATGACTGACAGGAACCTGTTATGATTAACAAAAGAGATCATTTAACCTCACTCACTCCAGAGCTATTTCAGGAAATGGAGGACAAACACCAAATATTTTAACACCAAATCCCATTGCTCTTATCACTTAAGAAATGTACATATAATACAAACACTCATAGTCTCCAAATAAAAGATTGGCCACCATACTTTGAGCTTTACTTAGCTATTCCTACTATGAAAAACTGTTAAAGAAATTCAGTTTAACCATGGCAGTAAGAGTAATAAAGAAGCAAAAGATGTTAAGAGGATCACAGATTTATTCTCAAAATTGCTAGGATAAATATTAATAAGATTTTCCTGATATATCATTGACAATCAAACTAAGATAGTGTTGGTAATATGGAATTCCTCATAGTTAAAAATGTATATCCCCACAAGGCTCTCAAATTTATAAGTCACTGTTAAAAGCCAACATAAATTCATACTACCTTCCGGTCACTGGGGTATTTACATTTAACTTTGTAATAATTAATGTTTAACTATATTCTGAAGACATGAGTGAGTTAACCTACTTGGGACAGTTGCAATAACCAAAGAGTGGCTACAAACGGTTCATTTAAAACTGATGATAATGATAGCATGCAATCAAGGGGCACCTAGGGACTCCAGACTAGGGCCATTCATGCACACAAACACAAAGAAAGCATACTCTAGTGTGAAAGTGAAAGATCTTTATAGAATTATTATGCATAAAGAGAGAAGAGAAAAAAGGATATTCCTAACAATACTTTCCCAATAAAAGCCCCAAATTACCCATCCCCTCACAGGCAAATGCCCTGCCAAACAGGGTTGGGTCAAAAATAGGGCATCTCCCTCCCTGGTAGCGTAAGGGGTTAAGTTACAGCACTATGAAGCTACCTGCAGCCACTGCAGAGTGAGTTCAATCCCTGGCCAGGGAGGTGACCCACATGGCACAACAGACCTCTCCTGCCTCTCCTGCTATTCCCCTCAGCAGTGTACCTTGCTAGATCTACCTGTTCTGCTGCCCAGTCTGTCTCTGATGAATCCTCTGGCACCCCACCATCCCTGCACCTCTGGCCTACACATCAGCTCTTGTATGCATACATAAATAAATCTTTGAAAAAAAAAATAGGGCTTCTAAGGCCCAAAAGCGTAAGTTTAAGGTAGTTAAAGGCCCACAAGTTTAAGGCAGCTCCTAGTAGGGAATGATAAGAAAGGGGTAAGGCAGATCTGGGACAAAAAGAAGCAAAATCAAAGTACAAATCAAAATAACAGTTGCCATTGTCAGCCTCCCCTCATGTCTCTCACACACTTGTCTCCTTCAAATATCTCTTTCAAGTCTCTACTCCACATATTTCCTCTAAGTCCTCTCCTACCCCAGCAGTACCAGAGTATAAGTCAGGCTACTGACTGTCCAGTTGGGGCACCACAGCCCCACTGCCCCCTGAGCAGCAAGGACTCTTGAGTGTGACAGGACAAGGGCGACAGGAGCAGGGCCATTTCCCGGACATGGACTATGAAGGCAGGGCCGCCAGGAGAGAAGGTGCAGAAGTGAGAGAGTGCTGGAGAAGAAGAGACACCAGAGGCTGCCTGTGTTCAGTTATGAGCCAACCATGGCTGCTTAACCCCACCCCTCGGGCCCCATAGCTCCCCTGATCAGGAAGTCTGGTTCATGGTTATGCTGGGACTTGTAATCCAAGGTGGCTGAATGTAAAGGTATAGGGGGAAGTGGCATCAACCTCCCCCTTCACAGAGGTATAGTTTATAACAATTACATCTACATTTGAATCTTGGCTTTTTAAGTGCTTTTCCGTGGGTTATCAATATTGTATCTTACATAGTCACATAAAAGAAATCAATCAAAATGTTTGTAGAGTTTAGGCATTAAACTTTTTGCTTTGTGAACGCATCCTTTCATTTTGGCCTGCAGATCCTCATATCCAGTCCTAATCTCCTACCTCACAGACAGCTGTATATGGAGCCCAGCACGTCCCATGCTCCCTCCTTGATGCTGTCATAACTTGGCCATTTGCCTTGTCCACTCAGCAGCTCTTAGCATTTCCAAGAAAAAGACTTCCCCCTTATTCCTCCTTCATGGAGCTTCTGCTATTCAGTTAACCACCATCAGGGGTAGTATATGGAGTGGGATTGAGGACACAGCATGTCATAATCCACACACTGTTGTACATTTTCAGTGATAGGCTTATATTTAGCCAGAAACTGGCAAATCAGATTAGGAAACACATTATTTGAACTTGTTAAAAAAAATTCATTAAAATAAATTTAGAGCTGTAATTAGTTATAACAGGTAAGAAAGTCTCTAAGCAATTTATACAAAATCAAAGGCACTTTTAGTCAGCAGAGTGGAACAAGATTGTTAACAAGAGAAAAGAAACATTTCAGGTAAACTCACTTTCCTTTAGCGGAGTGGTGTCTTATTATAATTTTAATTTTGGGCCTTCCTAGTGGTGCAAGGGGTTAAGTCTCAGCATTGTGAAGCTACTGGCAACCACTGAAGCAACAAGTTCAATCTCCAGCCAGGGAGCTAACCCACATGGCACAGCAGACCTCTCCTGTCATTCCTGCTGATCCCCTCAGCAGTGTATTTCAGTCAGTCTGCCTGTTCTGTTCCCTGCTCTGTCTCTGGGGAATCCTCTCACAGCTGCCCCCTACCACCCCGCACCTCTGGCCTACACCCCAGCTCTTGTATGCATAAATAAATAAAATAAATCTTTAAAAATTAATTAAGTAATTAATTAATTTATGAGTAATGACCAGGAGTCTCTAGATTGATTGGTTTAAACTTCCATTTTTGGGAGAGGCTGAAACTGTAATTGGGTTGGTACTAGATCTGGCTGAGGCTCATCATAAAAGAATTCATTTTGGGCCTGTTGTTCCTTTTACTAACAAACAAAAATTCAATTCAAATGTCTTGTATTAAATTAATTAAACAAGGAAGTCATTTGACATGGGTGGTTCTAAGTCCTTGGTGGCATATATAAACAAACTTAAACACAAGACAGTAAGTGCCTCAAGATTAAGAAATCAAAACCTCAGGACAAGCAATCACAAACACTCTACTAGAATTTTTTTTAAGATTTATTTTTTACTTATTTATGCATACAAGAACTGGGGTGCAGGGTGTAGAGATGGGGGGTGAGAAGATTCACCAGAGACAGAGTGGGGAGCATAACAGGCAGATCTACTGAAATATACTGCTGAGGGGATCAGCAGGTGGGACAGGAGAGGTCTGCTACGCCATGTGGGAGGAAAAGGTAATAATTTTGGTCTTTTAAGTTTCTGACTACTTCATAAATACACTATTAATTTGGTACTCTTATGACTATCTAGTTGTCAATAATACTGTCATTTAATCTTAGTGTTTCAATTCCCTTTGTTTTAGGTTGATGATTTGCTTAATTCAGCTGAAATTATCGAAGCTAGTTTGTGTATTACTTATATAACAAGTGGGTGCATTAAAGGTCAAAGAAAGAAGGCAATCCATTCAATTACAGGTACAAGGCAATCCATTCAATTTATTGTACTATTACAAAGTCATTTAGATAAGTAAAGTAGGTCTAATGCAAGTAACAGCTAAGGTGGTCAAAGAATAAGTAGGTGCTAAGAAACTAGCTAAGGGCAACTATTTAAGCTTAGTGTTAAACTTGATGGAAAATGGAATTATGACGTGTTAAAGATTATGGCAGTGTATCAAGGTAAAAATCTATTCCCTATCTTGTACTTGTACAGGAATCTTGACTAGCACAATAAAGGCATTCAAAAGTTTTTTTTAAGGGAAGGATCATTTTTATCTTAGTAAAACTGAAATCCGACTAATGAAAAACAAAGTGTTAACTCATGGTTCTGCGGAATTTCTATGGGGAACTAAAGTGCCATGCAGGTTGACAGATTACTGATGAATTATCTTGTATAGGTGAAAAACTTAGAGAATCTAGGAAATTGGTCTTCAGTTTTTGTCTTCATATACCTCCTAAAATAATTTTGAAAACTCCTATGTCCCCATCAACATTTTAAAGTTAATATCTAAAATTTTCTATCAGAAATCTAAAAGGTTAAAGGATGTAATTTTCAGCACACTTTAACTATGGCATTTAAAAATTGAAAGTAATACAGCACATTTAAAAATATAAGGAGATAATTTAAATACCATATAGATTCGATACCTTCATTATCCATTTAAAATGCATGCACAAGATTTACTTCAGTAGTCAGAAATTCACATTGTTTCTTACTCTTTTTGAATTCATTTCCATTTAATTTCCACTATAGAGCTGTCTTTGGGGATAAATTATCCTTGAAATAACTACTGACTTTCAACTGTCAAAAAATTGCAATTGTATACATTTCTAAAAATTTATAATTGGTTAATTGTCTCTTTCCATTCGGACTTCCCTCTTTCACACTTCCCTTTTTTGTTGGCTATTTTGGGGGTTACTGTTGGCATTTTTGGGGAACCACCTAAAAGGAAGTTGGAGACTCAAAGACAAATTTGGTGTGTGTTTATTGGGTTACATATTTATGAAATTGACAGACACTTCTGCATATTTTTAAGTAACAACCATCTCAGCATAGGAGTGACACCTATACAAGTAAGTCAGCTCACCCGAAATCTTGACACGAAGCTGCAGGGTTAGAGGTTGAAGGTTGATATGAATGTGTCCTATAGAACAGGCACTAGAAGCAGAGAGGTGGTAGAGAAGAAACAAAGCTTATTTGGAGATGGAAGCTATTCTATGGGAAATTGTCAGCGAATGATTTACTTTTTACAAACTTCTGGTCAAAATAGAAGTTCTCAAATTTCAGAAATATTCTTGATGGTGCAGTGCATATAATTTTGTTTTTTCCCTTTTTGATAGACTTTACACAAAATAGAATTTGGCAGTCACAGATCTATAGCAATACCACAAACAGTATTTATATGTGTGAGTAAAGTCACATGCTTCTACACTATCAATAATAACTAACTATTGATCAAGGGGAAATAATACTAAGTCATAATCTTATTCTTTCCTTAAAATTGACATCTTGGAATTATTATTATATAAATATGCTATCAAAGTGTATGAAGGCAAACAATTTTTTGAAGTAAGTTAGAGATGCGTCAGGCATTATTATGGTCTGAGTGTGTCTCCCCAAAATTCATATGCTGAAATCTTAACGCTCAATGTGATGGTATCAGGAGATGAGGTCGTTGGGAGGTGCTTAGGTCCTGAAGGTGGAACCTTAAGAATGGGTTGAGCCTCCCCTGGTGGAGCAGGTGGTTGAGCGCCACGCTGTGAGGCTGTCCACAGCCTCTGCAGTGCCGGTTCAATCCCAGCCGTTAGGCCAGGGTCCCACATAGCTGGCAGACCTCTCCTATCTCATCCGCTGCTCCCCTCAGCAGTGTATTTTGTCAGTCTACCTGTTCTGTTCCCTGCTCTGTCTCTGGTGAGTCCTCTCACCCTTCTGTGAATCTGGCCTGTACCCCGATTCTTGTATAAATAAATAAATCTTTAAAAAAAAGAATGGGTTAAGTATTCTTATAAAAGAGACCCCACAGAATTCCCTTCCCACAATTGCACCTTATGTCCATTACCTTTTCTCACGTACATTTGCAAGATTGTTGAGTGTGGTGAAAATTGCCAGCATTCCCCCAGTATCTTTTTCCTGTTTCTTTGCAGTGAGACTGATCTATCTGGGTTGAGTACAAAGTGCTTAGTTTAAGACATTTCTCAGCTTATCTACACAACTATGGATATATGACTAAGTTTCAGCTAAGGGATATGTGTGATAAAGAAAAATGCAGCTTCTGGGTCAACTTTTTGAAAACAAAGCTTGCTGTTGCAGACATTTTCTTTCTCCTTTCTATAGGTTGGAATCCAATCTGGACTTTTTGGTATTCTTTGCTCCATCCACCAAACCATGTGTTCTGTCCACCCAGCAGAAAAGATACCTTTTTCTTGATACAAAATACACTTTCCCTTAGCCATGGTCCCATGGAGCTGCCTCCTTCATAATAGGGTGTTGTTTTTTAATTTATCTGTGTACTCTTTTTCTTGCAAAGTTACCTTCCATTTGATGTGAAATGCATGTCTGAAGAAGACATCCTTTAACATTTGCAAAGAGGCATTTTATAGCCTGCAAAACTATAAAATTTGCATAGGGGCAAAGAGACGGACTGGCAGTAAGTCAACTTTAACCACATAGATGAGGATCTCTTAGAGAATGACAGTGCAAAAGTTGGAATGTGCCTGGTTCTTTGAAACACTGTGGAGCAGAGCAACCCTGGAGACAAGACCACCTACCTCCAGACCACTATACGAGAGAGAAATAAATTTTTATCCTATTTAATCCATTGCATGTTTAGGTCCCCCTTCCCCGTCCATCTCCCCCCTTGTTATAACTAAGCAGATTAGTTGCAATATTTACATTTTGGTCCTTTAACCACAAAGTGGTCTTCTGTGCTTTATCCTTAGGCTGGTTGTAAAAGCTGAAACAGTGCTTACATTTTTTTGACTACATGATTGCTGCTTAACATAGGGTGGAACTGTTAGCCAGGATTCTATATATATGTATATATTTTTTTAATCAGTGAATGTCACAAGTGCCTAAGTCACTTGAAAAATAGTTATAGTATCAAGATCAAATGGATTCTTCATTATTATATTCCATCATTTTCATTTCTCAAAAGACAAAATTCTCCTCCCTTGGATTTTTTTTTTAAACCTTGTTTACTATTACTATGTCAATCAATCAAATAAATTTTCCTCCTATCAATATTTCCTCCCTCCCTCCCTCCTCTTCCCTTCCATTGCTCTCTGTCTTCCCTTCTCTCGCTTAACTTGGAGAAAACTCTCCTCTATTATTGTTTTGGTAATTTCCTGTAAAAGATGTCCTTCGAGCTTCCTTTCTGAGAATACTTTCTATTAAGTTGAATGCTATTCCTCCTGGTTTGATTTTCTTGATTTCTTTCTTTCTTTCTTTCTTTTTTTTTTTAAAGAGGCATGTATTATTTATTTATTTGTTTGTTTGTTTGTTTATACATGCACTGGGTACAGTCAGAAGCACGGGAGCAGAGCAGGCAGAAGGACCGAAGTACACTGCTGAGGGGAGCAGCGGGCGGCAGGAGAGGTCTGCGCGTCATGTGGGACCCTCCTCCAGTGGCCGGGGAGCAGCCGGGGATCGAACCGGCGCCGCAGAGGCCGCGGGCAGGTTCACAACCCAGCGCTCAACTGCTGCACCACCGGGGAGGCCCTTGATTTCTTTCTTTTTCACTATCAGATCTTTTTGGTTATTTCCCTATCTTTGTATTCTATTTTTTCATTTTAGAAATGATTTTTAATCTCTAAGAGTACTTGTTCTGATCATTTATTTCTTTTTCTTTTACTTTTTAACATCTATTTTTTATTTTATGAAATGTTACTGAGGTTCTGTGTACATGTTAATTAGAGCATTTATACTAAACCTGACACCACATTGCAATTATCTGCAGAGTCTTAAAAAGTGCTGACACATGGGGTCCCATAATCGAAGATTCTCAATTTATTGGTCTGGGGTCAGCCTGGGTATCAAGACTTCTTTTTTCTTTTTTTTTAACCCCCAGGTAATTCATCTATTCAACAAGTTTGGAAAACACTGTTTCAGACTGCACCTCCCCTGAAAGTTTTATTCTTCTACCTAAATTATCTGATTCTTTCATGGCCCACTTTTTGTTATCTTGTTATCTTGTTTCTCTTAGTCTGTCTTTTATAATGCTAATTCTGACAAGCCTTGGCATAGGAGGTTGGCCATCATATTTAAGAGAGGACAATAGATGAAGTGGCTTGGGTTTCTTCTCCTTCTTATAAGTTGGATCATTTTTTGCCCTCATTTCTCACTTGAGAGGGATTTCTGACTCTGTGTTCAGGTTGGGCCTGGGCTGGGAGGAATGCTTGAGTTGATTTCGCCTCTGGTGAGAGGGCAAGATGAAGATGTCAAAATGTGGCATCAGGAATGCCAGACAGGGGCATTACTCTGAGGGAACCAACATAGAAGCTCTGCTTTTCCGATTGTTCACTCAGTTTTTAGGAAAACATGCCTGACAGTGAATGCAGATTCCCTGTACTCTGTGTTGAGGGAGTAAAAGTGGTAGCAGGTGCTACCACACTTTAAACTGAATTATAATCAATTTTCCTCTTGTCAGCCTGGCTTCTACTTCTCTTGACGTTCATGCAGACTCTGTGGTCAGAACTTTATAAACCCAAAGAATTTCCTTGAGCAGATTGGTTTCTATTTCCGCTGAATCACTTGGGGAATTTTTTTCACTAATATGGATGCTTAGGCCTCACTCCCTTACTAGATCAGAAATTCCAAGGAAAATCCTAGTGCAATTATCTAGCATTAACTTAAGGATTATTGTTTGGAAACCAATAACGAAGACTAACTTTTAAGAGTACAGCAGGGAACCAGCTTGAAACTCACTTGAACTCGCATGCAGATTCATTATTCCATAAAGATATCTCATTTGGATTGTAAGTCAAGAATAAGCCAGCCAGTTCCTTTTCTTAATTCTTATTTTTTCCATGTAACAGAAATCTAACTCATAATCATGGGTCTTTGAGAGTGGCATTAAATGCTTTATCCTTTCTCAGATAGTTCTGGATATTTGCATCAAGCATGGATCCAGAAATTATGAAGTTTTCTCATTGTAACTACTTTCAGCATTTTCTAGATACTGGAAGGTCAAATATTACAATTAGAGAGTTATTAGAAAAAGAGTTCCTAGCCTACCACTAGGGAAGCTCTTGGCTCTGAAATATATATTTATGCTATAATTGCAGGATTTAAACATGATTTAAAAATATGTCCCCGACTTTTTTTTTTTTAATCCCCCTAGCCCATTTCACCACATGGGGAAAAATACCCACATATTAGAAAACAATCAAACTCTTGCTGAAACCATAAACCACAGTTTGGTTTTCCTGAGAAACTGAAAAATCTTATCTTTACCATTAAAATTAGAATATTTCAGAATGAAATCAAAATACCACATGTATTGCAGAGATACACCACTTAACCAAGACTGTAAGATCACAGAAATGGACTTTATTGGCTTCGGAGAGGGGAGGGGAGGGGAGGAAAGGGGAGGGGAGGAGAGGGGAGGGGAGGAGAGGGGAGGGGGGGAGGGGAGGGGGGAGAGGGGAGGAGGGGAGGGGGGGGAGGGAGGAGGGGGGGGAGGGGAGGGGGAGGGGAGGGGAGAGAAGAGGAGAGGAAAGGAAATGTTCACCTCATCTTTTATTTCCTTTCAAAAACTAAATTAAATGTGAAAAAGCAGAACCTTAAACATGCTATCCATCTCTACTCAGCATGTTGAACAGATCTTATTTACAACTTTCACTACTTTTTTTTTTAACCCTGAATTAAGATCTGATGACACATTCTACCTTCCTGCCGTTCTTTATTGAAACAGAAGGCTGGGGGTTGGCATTTGGGTAAAGCTCCCATTTATTCATGTACTGATGTCCTTTCTTGTTGCACATACCATGGGTGCTGTCAGTACCAATCCCAGCACACACTTTCTAGTTCATATCACGGTTCACAGGTAGGATGCCTTTGAATCATCCTTCATCCAGAGAAGTTAAACTTGCACACAAGGAAAAGGGGGAACTATAAGATTTGACTGCAATTTCCTCACTAAGGGATAATTTATATATGTT